TTACCCTCTTTAAAGGCCTTATCTTTAAATACAGTCATATTGGGGGGTTAAGGCATCAGCATATGAACTTGAAGGGGAGAGGACACAACTCATTCCATAACACATCTTGGGGACAACACCACATGTCTCCCATTAGATTCTCCAGATCCCTTTCCCCCTTCTGTCCATAAGCTCCGTGCTCAGGGGTACTGATCTGTATGCGCTCCCAGTTCCTCCGGCTTCTGGTGGGGGTCAGCCAGTGGGATACACTGGCAAGAAATGGGAGAGAAGGAGAAAGAGACTGGGGTCTCAGTACATATTCCCTTGACCCCCTTCTGTGCAGGACCAACATGGGTTGGCATGTCCCCTATCAGTTCTCAACTTCTACTAGCCCCTCTGTTTCCAATTCCAGTGACCCCCACTCCTCAGCTTCCTTTCTTCATGAGGGGGTTAGGGGTGATTATTGACCTCATACTGTCCTTTGAAGTTTCCCTTCATCATGCCCAACCGTAACATGATTCCTTCAAATTATGCTTGATGGAAGGATGTCACCTCTGTCTGGAAGGCACATTTCCAGAGCCGGGGCAAACCACTGTTCTAGAAACCAAGAGCATCTCCAAAGGACTCCATGATGACATCATCGCTCCTTCACAGCGGTGTCACCTCTGGACGCTGCCATAATAGAATGACTTGGGGTCCTACTTCTAAGGGAGTCCTGCTCAGGCGGGGATTTCTGGGTGCCCTTTTGCATCTGAACCTATGTTCTTCCCCCTGAGAATGCTCAGGACCATGTATGCATCCTTTCCTTCTCGTTTGAATCCTGCTGCTACCAAGTCTGGAGAGAATCTGGAGACTGGTCTGTCTTTGGTTCTACTGCCAAACTTCAATAAAGACACTGGAGACTTGGCTAAAAACACTACAGCAACCACTAGCCTTCTCTTTGCCCAAAAGAAGATTGTTGTTAAGGGTTAAGGGCACAGGCTTTAGCTCCACTTGGATTTCAAGCTCTGGCTCTGGCATTCATGAGCATTTCTGAGCCCCAGTTTGACCATCTGTAAAATGGTGATATAGATTTGAATTACACAGAATAATGTTTGTATGATGTTTGGTGCATAGTAAGTTTGTACAAATGTTAGCCTCTATTGTTTTTAGTGCATAGTGCGTAAAACCCCTCTTGCTCATAAAATAAAAACTACCTCTTAAGAACTGGCCCTCTGAGGGGTGCCGGGGTGGTGCAGTCAGTTGAGCATCCGACTCTTGGTTTCTGCTCAGGCCATGATCTCATAGATCGTGGGTTCGAGCCTCACACCGGGCTCTCTGCTGATAGCATGGAACCTGCTTGGGATTCTGTCTCTCCTTCTCTCTGTCTGTCCCCGCTTGTGCTCGCTCTCTCTTTCTCTCTCTCAAAAATAAATAAATAAACTTAAAAAAAAAAAAAAGAATTGGCCCTGTGTTTTCCCTCTTAATGTGGAAATGTGTTTGTTTCTATTTATAAAAATCCTACATGGTCATGGAAGGATGGTGTGAAAAAGAAAACTCTTTCCTATTCTTACCAAACAGAATAAGTTCTGTTACATTATCACTTTATGGCAGCTGTATGCATATAAATTTATAAACATTAACTTCTTTACACATGCACACGCATCTGCACACACACACACACACACACACACACACACAAGTACATTTCTTTAAACTGAGATCATATTATATCATTTTGTATCCTCCATTTGTAATTACATTGTGAACATAAAAATACCTGCTAAATATTTTCTTGTTAATTTTTTTTTTTTTTCAATCAAACAAATTTGGGCGGCGCCTGGGTGGTTCAGTCGGTTGAGTGACCGACTTCAGCTCAGGTCATGATCTCATGGTTTGTGAGTTCGAGCCCCGCCTTGGGCTCTGTGCCGACAGCTGAGAGCCTGGAACCTGCTTCAGATTCTTTGTCTCCCTCTCTGTCTCTTGCTCCCGGCTTGTGCTCTATCTCAAAAATAAATAAATAAACATTTTAAAAAATCAAGTACGTTTTTAAAGATCTTTTCATTGCATTTCTGTGTGCATCATAGGCACACAGTCATAATTTTATACAGGTATACAAATGTGATTGTGCTATATGTGCCTTTTCATAGTTTTGTGGTTCTTAATCTATTATCGGTTACAGTGGTATTTAAACCCGGAGTGTTTTGGCATTATGTCATGTGTTCTGTTGACCTGTCAGATAAAGCTCCAATGTAATCGTACTTTTCGCCACAGCACAGCCTCTCAGTTAGAGAGAGGGCACGTATTGATGATGAATTTGACCCTTCCTTCTCTAGCTATGATGTTCTGTCTCTGAGGTAAGGAGATGAGGCACCGGGGTTTCTCAACCTGGCCATCTACACCATAGTGAGGAGTTAATTCCTTCTGGAGATTTTCAAAGCATTGAACAAAATCCTTCGTTTATGATGGCTTGGTGCTTTTTGTATCCTTCTGTACATTTCATGAATATTTTGATGGGAAACTGAAAGTTGATAAACCAGACCCAGCTGTCTTGTGGCAGTAGCATCCAGAACTTTCTCTCCCTCTCTCTTCATGAATATTTCCCATTCCTGTCTGATCATATTGCATTTTTCCACACTGAAGGACAAAAAGAAATCTATGTGCAGGTCAGTCAAGTCGTGTCATAAATATTCTGTTCCTTGAGGTTTCAAGGTCACAGACAGTTTATCAAGGATATTTCAAATTCTCCGTCGTCTCTCTTTCCTTGGCTCTTTTACCAGAAATTCCAAAATAGCAGCCCAAATGCTTTCCCTCCACCTGAGACCATAAAAGCTAGGGCCTCGAAGCAAGGAAGAGGTTCAGCCGTCAACAGCTATGTGACTTTGGTTACCACTCTCTCATGACCAAATGATAGATTTTGGCCTCTGTGTCCGCCAGTGTGATTTCTAGTTTTAAAAAGGTAAAATTTCTGAGGGTTTCAGCTCTGACAGTTCAGAGAACTGCTCTTCACTTTGGCTTATTTCTGCCTCTTCTGCAGATCTCCCCTTATGGAACCAAATCGCCATTATGCTTCGGTACATCTATGTTCTACTTTGGTTCTTCTCTTTATTTATTTCACAACCTTAGGAAAATCTTCAAGTACATGCCAAGTTTTGGCCTAAAGACTGTATCCCTATCTCCTAGCCTTGTAAGAAAGAATTCATGGATCTGGTTGAAGAAAGGTATCTATAAGCAAATATGTTTGGAAAAAACATCAGATTGGTTCCACACCCCCCTTAGAGTTTTGCAATGGATGATCACTTACTAAGTTCTGCAATAGGGGAACCTGTTTTATTTTGCTTACCTTAGACTTTCCAAACATTCTTAACCTTGGAGTTCTTTTATTTCTGGTAGTATGCGTTAACATCCTCCATAATTAACGCCCATGCCGTACATAGGGGAGGCACAGCTCTGGAAGGCACATAGTCCCTAATTCTGCTGCTCACTGGCGACGTGATCTCAGTGTAAATCCAAAACTTCTTCACACGTCATATCGCTCGGATGTCAACTGAGGGAGCATAATGGCACCCATTTCACGTGGGTGAAGATTTATAGCACTATTACATGTCTGTGGTAGTTACGACTAACAGTATTCCAACTCTGGGGTCTGGCTCTTTGGGTTCCAATTTTGTCCCTCCGCTTCCTGACCTTGGGAACATTTCTTAACTTCTGTAGCTCAATTCTTCATCTATCCAATGGGGACAAAGATTGTACCATTCTCACAGTGTTGTTGGAAGAGTTTGGTCTGATTCACGTAAAACAATTATAAATGTGCCTGGTCCGTGGTGGGTACCTAATGAACGTTAGCCGTGTTATTGTCATCATTGGTGCTCTTGTTACGTCTGTGAGTGTATCACGTGAAACGGATTATTTTATTTATTTCAATTTAAATCCAAGTTAGTTAACATATAGTGTCATAAAAGTTTCAGGAGTAGGATTTAGTGATTCATCACTTACATAGAACACCCAGTGCTCATCCTAACAAGTGCCCTCCTTAATGCCCATCCCCCATTTAGCTCAACCCCCCACCACCTCCCCTCCACCACCCCTCAGTTTGTTCTCTGTGTTCAGGAGCCTCTTATGATTTGTCTCCCTCTCTGTTTGTATCTTATTTTTCCTTTCCTTCCCTTCCCCCATGTTCATCTGTTTTGTATCTTACATTCACGTATGAATGAGATCATATGGTATTTATCTTTCTCTGACTGACTTATTTTGCTTAGCGTAATACATTCTAGTTCCATCCGTGTTGTTGCCAATGACAAGATTTCATTCTTTTTGATCCCCAAGTAATATTCCATTGGACGTATATACCACATCTTTCTCGATTCGTCAGTCACTGGACATTTGGGCTCTTTCCATACTTTGGCTATTGTTGATAGTGCTGCTATAAACATGGGGGTGCATGTGCCCCTTCGAACCAGCATTTCTGTATCCTTTGGATAAATACCTAGTAGCACAGTTGCTGGGTCATAGTGTAACTCTATTGTTAATTTTTTGAGGAAACTCCATACTGTTTTCCAGAGTGGCTGCACCAGTTGGCTTTCTGAAAGGGATTATGTTAGATTTTTTTTTTATTGGGGTGTAATTGACCTATAACATTGTATTAGTTTCAAGTGTACAAAATAATGCTTTGATATTTGTATATATTGTAAAATGAGCACCACAGTGAGTCTCGTTAACATCCATCACCAGGCATAGCTACATTTTTTTTTTTGTCCTAGTAATGAGAACTTTTAAGATCTACCCTCTTAGCAACTTTCAAATAAGCAATACAGGATTATTCTCTGTAGTCAGTCACCAAGGTAGACATTACATACACATTATTTTAGTTCCCAAAAGCAACTCCTCTCACCTCAAGAAACAGCTTAAATCCAGCATATTATGAAAAGAGTATCACAGCCCTCCTGCAGATATTTGATGGTGCCTGTTGATTTTGACCTTCTCTCCATGTAGAGTCTGTGATCTGTATTTTCCATCATGTAACTTTTTCTGTTTGTGAACAGGGGCGGAGAGGCCTCGGCTCTGTTTTTGTCTGGGCCTCAGGAAATGGTGGAAGGAGCAAAGACCACTGTTCCTGTGACGGCTACACCAACAGCATCTACACAATCTCCATCAGCAGCACAGCTGAGAGTGGGAAGAAGCCTTGGTACCTGGAAGAGTGTTCGTCCACGTTGGCCACCACCTACAGCAGTGGAGAGTCCTACGATAAGAAAATAGTACGTGGCATTTGCATGTCATGATTTATTCATTTATCTTTCACTACGAAATACAAAGGAAAGGGGCACCTGGGTGGCCCAGTCGGGTAAGCGTCTGACTTTGGCTCAGGTCATGATGCTGCGGTTCATGAGTTTGAGCCCCGCGTCGGGCTCTGTGCTGACAGCTCAGAGCCCAGAGCCTGCTTCAGATTCTGTGTCTCCCTCTCTGTCTGCCCCTCCCCTGCTCACATTCTGCGTCTCTCTGTCTCTCTCTCTCTAAATAAACATAAAAATAAAAAGAAATACAAAGGAAGAACCATAAACTTAGATGCAAAAGTAATACATGGAAATAGGCAAGTAATATATGGAAATTAGCTGCTGATGCAATACAAGTATTTGTAAGTTTCGTCGTTCTGTTATTGGAAGTGCTTATCTGGGCCATTCTATTCCAGCATTTGATGTGGTCTTAGACATGAGTAAGCTTTAGTTTTATTGAAGACAAATGAGCAGTCCACTTTGACCTTGCGAGTTAGTGGTAGGGAAGAGACCAGTTCCGACACTCAGCCTACTTCCCTTATCCCTCTGTCCCCATACTGCCTTTGAAACTTACCTTCAGCGCTTCGGTTTCAAAGTGGGTCTGACTAAATCCGTGGGAACTAAACCGATCAAAAGGTGCTTTTCTACTACTGAGGCACCAGCTCGCCTGAATGAAGAGCACAGAAGTCCTACATGATCGCCCGCTTACCCGCGTGCCCTGCTCTCCGTGCAGACAGAGAACTGATTGAGAGTTCAGGTTGCAGGACCAGCCTGCTTGGGTTTTGTTCACTGTTGAACCATTTACTATAGCTGGGTAACGTTAGACACATTACTTAATTTTTCTGTCTCAACAAGCCTCATCTGTAAAAGGTGAGCATTTAATATTGCATGGTTTATGGCATTATTATTACAAAGATGATGAAGAAGTAAATAAAAAGGGCTCTGCATACGCCTTGAACCACTGATGCCCAAGGAAGTTCTGACTTCTGGGGTGCCCAGCGCCGTGCCTCTGGTTCTAAATTTCAAACACCTTTGCATTTTGCTCTTTTCTTGATGACAGTTTTGTAAACCATCTCAGGATTTGTCTCTCTAAAGTGAATCTAAGCTGCTTCACTTGACATTTTTTAGCATTTAGCGGAGACCCTTCTCTCAGGTCTTGTAGATTCATGCAAATTTGGGTCGCATCTGATTACACAGGGAGGAAACACAGCACTCCCTTCGTGGAATTCTCCATCCACATCCGTTTGGGTCTTCTTGATTATCCTGGTTATCATATAATTTTCATGTGTGATTCCTTAGCTACTTTTCACTACCTTCTTTAGTTACATTTTTCAGATTGATTTAAATAAAAATTGCCTACCCATATCCATATCCCCTCTGCCCCTAGCTTTCCTTAATTCCTCCACAATAACTGGGTTAAAAAATATGTACATGAATCTACCTTTAAGCACCTCCAACATTCATCAGTAAACATAACCCTGCAATACAAAGTAAAATATAAAAGGAGAAAACCCAGAGATGACAAGCACCACAGTTTCCTGGCTTTCTTAATGGGAAAGTGATGTTCCGTGATTTTTTACCTTCATTATGAAAATGTTATAATCCAGGAGTGCCCCTTTTGCTCTCAAATTTGCTTGTCTCTCAGAACTCGCGGTCAAGGTCCACTAAAACTAAGTGGCATCCGTCAGTTCTGCACCATAAAAATCCTGATGGAACTCTCTGGAATAAGAGTTCTCTTTCTGTACCTCTCGAGTCTGAAGGCAAATTTGCCATTGCTTCAAAGTGAATATGCCCGTCGACTCCTGTTTTCCTTGTGTGGTGATTGCCATGGAGAGGGTACCATGAAGTTCCATAAATGCCTTTCTTAAGAGAAATGTACAACCCAGTGGGCAAAATATCAAAGGAGAAGAAAAGGTTTTCTGGGTCCTGGATGGGAGAAGGCAAGATGGACAGACCTCAAAACCTCTACGTGAGATTTACTCCCTAGACTTGACCTTCCTAGCCCCTCATCATGCTGTGATGCTATGGTGGATGCTGTGACCACCCCCCGCCCCCAACAACAGGCAATCATTTAGGATTCTCCCAGGGACGGACAGAATGATCCGTTCACTGGATGGATTCATTCAGCCATAGACTACACTTTCTCCCTAACTGCTGCTTCTGATACCAAAACCTTTGCTGACTCACTTGATATATGCAACCTATTTGTTTCTCACTTCTGTTGAATCTCTTTCTCCCATTTTCGTAGCAACAATTTATTAGTAATTTTTCTCCATCCCGTTCTTAGAATCTCTTTATATTGCCCGAATCTGCAAATTACCGTAAACTGCAGAGGAATTTGGGAGCTGTTTCAAGTTAGAGTCTCCAGCCTTAGACCCATCTCTCAGTGGCTCAGTGACCCTCAACACTGCAATCTGTACCCCCCACCCCCCGAAGAAAGGCACTTTGATCGTGAACGTGTGAACAGTTTGAACATGAGTAGAGTTAGCAACAACACCGGCCTTTTATGGTCCAGCTGACCCCTTTTCCTTCTAGATGTCAGAATGACAAATAATCCTGCGACGTGCCTGGGACCTTTTCTTTACCAGGCTTTGAACCAAACGCTGGTGGGCCCTCAGAGGTGCCCACTTCCTGTCAATGGCATTGTGATTGAGTGTTGCAAGAATGGTGGTGACTGTCCCCCCTTTGTTCTGGGCCTCCCCTCCCTGGACCATTCATTTCCTTGTGCCATTTGTGGCTTCTTCAGGAGAGCACTGTTGTCATTTCTTGTCTGTAGAGCCCCATTGTGCTTTGAACCAGGCAGATGCTAAGGATTCAGGAGAGAGGAAGGATCGCTCTGCTTCAGGAAAAGCACTTTTGTTCAATAAATTTGACTTGTCCCCAACAGAATTGTTTGCAAGCAGGAGAACCTGGCCCTGGGTGTCAGATCGGCCACATCTCTGTCCCTTGGTTTCCCACCACGACTGTTGGTACAGTTGTGGACCTCGGTATTTCATTCATGCTTTAATCGATTCAGATCGGTAATGGTCTTATATCTTAATACAGCACGTGAAACGTCCAGAATAGCAAGATTACTATAGTAAGAAACTCCCCTGTAAGCTCAACAGAAATCAGTTGAAATGACTGATTATTATAAAGCCACATTATCAACTAATACGTTTTTATTAACAATATTGCATGCTTCTTATTCCGTGCCAAATACGTAATACGTTCACAGTTATGGTAACATGCCATAAATATGGCATTTTTTCTTTATCCTTCTAATTAGTACCAGGTACTGGGCATGCATTAAATGCATGGTCTCATAGTACCCTCAGAACTCTACACAGGAGCACCAGGAACCGTCCTCACTTTACAGATGAGAAAACTAATGCTTGAAAGGTTGAAAGAAACTTAGGCAGTACGTGATGGAGCCTGGATTCCCACCAAAGTGGGGATGGACGCCATCTTGTAACCAGGGTGCTGTCACGCTCTGGAGACTTCTCAAGGACACCCACCATGGGGCTGTCTGAAAGCACGGTGCTGCTCTCAGCTGTTTGGGGTTCTTTTCTTAGTGATAAAAAAAAAAAAATATATATATATATATGTATCTTTAGAACACATAGGTATCCATTATTTTTCACTCCCGGTGATTTATTTTGATTTTCACGTCCTAAGACCTCCTGATAATCCCCTAAAACAATCAGTACTCTTGCAAAAACCTAAAGCTCTTTGTCAATCCGAGTCGCTGGTCCCCTGTGTCAGCCCGGAGCTCGTCCAGAATATGCTTTCTGCGTGACGTTCAAGCTAGGGCTCTCCCTCTTGTCACAAGTGTCCTCTGTTAAGGCCCGGTACCGCCAGATAGCACTTCATTTGTGCTAATGAATTTCACCCCAGGGAGGGTTTTTCTTGTTCCCCTCCCCCAGTCCCTTTTATCTTGTTCAATTTTCTTCCTCGAGTCCGTAAAGCTGCTTAATGTATTACACTTTTTCTTACTGACTGCCTGTTTTGCAGTAGATTGGAAACTACGTGAGGTCGAAGATTTTGTCTTGTTCCTTCCCAGAGCCTGAGCTTAGTAAATATGCATGCATAAATCACTATCAGACGCTGGGAAGGATGGGAGCCGCATGGATTGTTTACGCAGCCACAGGAAGACAGGGAAATGCTCTGTTTCTTTAAGAAAAACTCCTTCTGGTAGGTTGGTAAAAGGCAAAGGCATTTGGCAATAATGTATTTCGCATCTGAAATTGCCCACAGGAATCTTGCCGTAAAGGCCTGCGTGCTACCTTTCTTAGTGTCCAAGGGCACTAAAGATCCCATCTAAAACCCTTCACTGCCTCCTGAAATGTCTCCCAAGTTCTGATTTGGAAATAAAGCTTCCCTCTCTCCCCAGTCCCTCCCATCGTTAAATGATCTCCTTCTTTTGGGACTCGTTCAACCTTTGCCCTTTTTCCTCTGGTCATTTGTCTTAGAGATTGGAATATGGCCTTGATCCTGTTCCTCCTGGGAGGGGTCTTGTGAGCCAAGGGTTAGAGTACATAGGCTCTGCTCAGCCCATTCCTGATGTCATGTTATTTATTTGTGTTCCCAACAAACTTGCGCCCCCCCCCCCCAGGGTATCTCAGGTTGGACTGAGTGACCAATTCCACGTGGAAAAATTGTCTTATTGCTTTTCATGTTCCTAAGCAGCTACAGATTTTCTCTTCTTACGGAAACATCCTGCTCCCCACCCCCACCCTCCCCCGCCACCCAAATCGTTATTCAGGTACAGTCACCATTCACAATGGAGTTGATTTCTGTCATCTCCCTGTTTCTTCTTTTGGCTTGAGAAATGGCATTCTTTTTCAAGCAGAAGACTGGCAAATCCAGATGTGTTTAGTTTGTTGGGAAGCTTGATACATAGTCTCTTGAGAATGTTAAAAAGAGGAAATGAAATTTGCTCCTGAAAAGTTCCGATCTCGATGGTGGCCGGAAGGAGAAGGTCGATACCCACTTGCCGACTTGGG